GTAGACAAATCCAGAGGATTGAGATCCGGGGATCGAGCGGGCCAATTCTGTGGTCCTCCTCGACCTATCCACTGATTTGCATATGTTTCAGTTAAATGCTGACGTGCTACTTGACTAAAATGGGCGGGAGCCCCATCATGCATAAAAACCATATCCCTTCTGACGCCCAAAGGAACTTCCTCCAGCAGTACGGGGGGATGCACTTTTCTTAAAAATTGAACGTATGCCTCACCATTTAATCGAGGAGGTAGAAAATGAGGCCCAATTAAATAATCCCCAATAACTCCGACCCACACCTTAAGAGAAAACTGTTCTTGATGGTTAGTTTCGACAATAGCGTGATGGTTTTCATCAGCCCATATGTGGTAATTATGAAAATTAATAATCTTGTCCCGAGAAAAACTACATTCGTCTGTGAATTCGATCGTCTTCAGAAAGTCACGATTTCTTCTAATCATTTCCAGCATCCAATTGCAAAATTCAAGACGGTTCGGAAAGTCTCGCGGTAACAGTGCCTGTACTCGTTGCAGATGGTAAGGGTATAAGAGATGTTCCTTTAAAATTCGAAATACCGTCATATGATCAACATTTAGCTGGAAAGCAATCTTTCTAGTACTGGTAGTAGGTTGTTCTTCTATCAAATTAAGTACTGCTGCCTCAAGCTGTGGTGTTCTTACTTCTCGATGGCGACCACAATCCTGCGTTCTTTTGTTGAATGAACCATATTCACGTAATCGTTGATGAAGTCAGACAAATATTCTATGTGAAGGATGCTGCCGTTGAGGATACATTTCAGCATATCTTGTAGAAGCTTCTAACCCATTCCCCTGCGACAGACCGTAAACGTAATGCATATCAGCCATTTCCTCATTTGTGTATGCCATTTTAATAACAAGTGAATTATTAAAGTAACAAATTAAGAACAGAACAATACACAATTAGTATTACTTCAATTTCAAAAATTTACAAACTGACAGCTTGATTCCAATTTAATTGTCAGTATCGCTAATGGCGGCCTACTAGATAAATTAGTTTCGTATTTTCGTTTTATGGCGATATGTATCTTGTTCGTAAAATAATTTTTTGCTGCGAACTGGTTTAATTTGGGCAAAAAATTCAAGAGACATTTTTTTTTAGAATGAAACAGGCTATCGGAAATAAATTTTTAAATGGTAAAAAAATAATAAGACAAAAAATTACGTTGGAAATAAATTTTAGGGGTTGCGTTTTCCACCCCTTACAACCATGGGGTAAACCAAATAAATTACTGGCTAAGTGTCTTTTTGGTAGTAGAAAATGTCAGGTTAATTTCAATATTGTAACTTGTTTAGTGCTTGTGAAAAAAATTGTTAAACAAATTTTATGTACCCCCTTTAAGGGGCTGTATCTTAACAAGGGATGCTCCAATGAAGTTTCTTTATATGAAAGATCCTATCTTTTTTTCGATGAGGAATCACCCCCTTAAATGTTTTACACTTATTTAGTTACACCCTGTATTCCACTAATAATATTAGGGAACAATATTTGCAAACTAAGTACCTACATTGTTTTCTAACGAAATTCAGATTACTCCTCGTTCACACTGACGCAATCAATAATGACTAACTCTTTTGGATCTCTCTTTTGAAAAATATAAATAAATACACTAATGCAAACAATTAAAGAGCCAAAAGAATTTCAGAAATTTTTCCGTGATTTTTGACAGACTGTATTTAGGTGAAAAATGGTCGTATCAGGAATTTAAAAAAGCATTTTGAAGCTCTAAGATTCTAGTTTTTAGATCTTTGGGTCGAAATTTTTTAGGAGCTACGGTGATCATGCAATTCTAAGAAATAGCGCGATAAAAAAATTCCACGCAATTGGAAACATTTTTTTTAGCTAATGCATTGCATGGACCAGATAACTTGTTTATTCAGCTTCAATTTCCTTTTTTTTAAACTTCAATACGACCATTTTTCATCGAAATATAGGACTTTTGTCTTCAGTCATCGATATCTCGGCGACAAATGGTCGTACAGAGAATTGAAGAACAGTTTTGAAAACTGAATAAATTTCCTATAACATGCTGCCCTAACCTTTCGGATTTTTTATTCATCTTTTACACGAATTTTAAAAAACAGGAAAAAAAGGGTAATTTATGGTCTTTTAGAAAATTGATGGCTTAATTAGAAATATTCACGAAATGTGACATATACAGTTCGATATACCCAGAAGAACCCTGTGAAGTTTCATCTCGGTCTAGTGAATCGTTTCTTTGTTTCAAACAGTCAAACTTTTGAAAAAAATTAAAGGGTCACTTTTTTTGAGCTTAAACACTTCATAATCATGATTAAAATGGAAACATTTTTTTTTTGAGGTTTTCTCACATTTTTACCGCAATTAACGTTAAATTGATAAAAAATAAAATTTAAATTTTTTTTTTGTTTTTTTGAAAAACCTTCCGAACATTGAAGAAAACAAAATCCAATTTTGTTTCCAGCACGATTCGGCATTTTCGTCCTATGCTTCTGTTCATCAAATTTTAATTAAATTATAATTAAAGTTGATGACTCAAACCAGATTTCGACCCCGATTCATACCGTTTTTTGAGACAAATTTTCTAATTCGCGGTAAAATTGGAGAAAACCTCAAAAAATATATTTTTTTTCTATTTTAATCATGATTATGATGCGTATAAGCTCAAAAAAAGTGTCCCTTTAATTTTTTTCATAAGTTTGACTGTTTGAAACAAAGAAACGGTTCGCTAGCTCGAGATGAAACTTCACAGGGTTATATCGAACTGTAAAAGTTATACTTAACATTAGTCATTTCGTGAATATTTCTAATTTAGCCGTCAATTTTCTAAAAAACCATAAATTATAATTTTTTTCCTGTTTTTTTAAATTCGTGTAAAAGACGAAAAAAAAATATTTTCCGAAATGTTGCGGCAGAACGTTATAGGAAATTTATTTCAGTTTTCGAAACTACCCTTCAATTTTCTGTACGAACATTTGTCGCCGAGATGTCGATGATTGAAGACAAATGGATCATTTTCCATTAAAAGTCCGATATTTCGATGAAAAATGGTCGTATCGAAATTAAAAAAATTGAAGCTGATAAACAAGCTAACTGGTCCATGCAATGGCTTAGCTGAAAGATCTAAAAATTAGAGTCTTAGAGTTTCAGAATGTTTTTTTTATTCCCGATACGACCATTTTTCACCTAAATTGCGGAAATTCTTTTGACTTTAATTGTTTGCATTAGAGTAGGTATGTGTAGTAAACAAGAAAATGTGGTGGTTGTACGGTGAAATAATAGAACCTATTAAATAATTTGAAAAAACACTTGCCAGCTTATTTGAGTAGTTGTCACTTGATTGTTTTGAAAAAATAGAAATTCTAAACGATGTTTCTAGATTAGCATTATCTTTTTACTTGTTCATACTGACCTTACATTAAGCTTAAGATGTGTATCATTTTGGCGTTAGTTACTGATTTTCCATATTAACTGTTATACCAAAGTAAATATTTTGTTATGATATCTATCATTAAAATTCTTGTATGTATAGCCTCATACTGACTAACATGTTGAAGTAGTGTACGTTGCTGCATTTTCTGATGAATTTTCTTTTATGTTTCTTAACAATAACAGTTATGACATCAACACATCAATTAATATATATTTGTTATATTATGTGGGCATATAATTTAATTTTGTCATCCTTCGCAGCAATCTGAATAATTATTACAGGAATTACCTACTAATCATTATCTGTAATAAGTAGAACTTGTAGGTTTATCCCCAAGCAACGCATTGAGATTGTAATTTCCTAATAGTCATGCATTATTACCTTTTTAAAAAAAGATTTATCTTCTTTAAAACAATCAGTTTCCAACACTCAAAACCAAACTTATTCAAAAGAAATCAAATATTTCATGTTATAACCCTACTAACATTAAGGAAAAAATTGAAGAATAAAACAACGAAATAGTAAGTCCGTATTATATTTATCACACGCATACGTTTGCTCAAATTCAAGAAAATGTTAATATTTAGTATCCTCGCATATCTTAATAAGGGAATAAATTTTTTAAACTCCCACAGTGATAATGAGAATGCATATTTTACTTGTGCATATATTATCTACTTATCACCTACACCTGATCTAAAGACTTTCTTGTTTTAATTACACGGCTTTATATATTATTATTTAGCTTATTAATAATAATAAATAACAATATTTTTCAGGCATTATTGTAGAACTTGTCAATTATTTATGCAAATGTGTCAATAATTAGTTGTAGATAATTAAACAAAATTAGAATTGTCATTCCTTTCAAAGTCTATATCATAATGTATTTTAACAATCTACATAATAAAATAAGCCGTATGTATGATACAGAAATAGTAATTTTCTTTTATTATAAGAGGCTGAGACGAACAGCTTTTTTTTAATATACATTTCTAAATAATTAATTATAATCATATTTTCATATAATTGACATCATTTTCTAAATATGCACATGCAAATAATGATAAAATATATTCATAGATTAAAGCCTTGCGTCGACCTGAGTTCATTTACCACCATTATAAAAAGCACCATTCATCTAATATGAGTGTCATTTTTTTATATCTTTTCTTATGTATTCCATCAAAATATAATATGGAATATATTTATCTAAGATTATAAGATATCAGTAACTAACTGATTTTTGAAATTTAGAAAAAAAAACAGTACCATTGCACAATACTCAAATATTTATATTAATTAATTCCAACTAATTTAGTAGGTATAAGCAATCGCTGAAGTAACATTTCAAATTAACTTTTTTCACCAATAATTCCGCGTAATAAGTTAAGAAAACAATAAATAATGGTTTTTACTTATTAATATCTATTACCACACTGGCGTTTTTGTGTCGAAAAAGCTTAATTGCATTTAATGATAATGACCTTAACAGGGAAGTCAGTTTTTATTCACGCAAAAAGTATAACAATGCGACAATTATTGTACTTACCTGATATATCTAAGTACAACAATAAGTCCAGGGTTTGTTCGTCTCTTGTCGTACTGGTTGAGGAGACCGTATACCACCAATAAGCCACTGAGAATGAAAAAGGAGTCCACAAATACGTCACCGTGGAAAATGATACAAGCGGCGGGTGACCTATATTGCTAAAATTGAGAATTTAATTTATTTTTTAAGCTTTTATTTACATTCTGTTTTCTTAAAAAAATATTTAATTTACAGTATTTGTTTATATACACTTTGTATATACACTTTGTTTACAGCATTTTATTTTGAAATCTGAAATTTATACAGGTAGTACAGTATTCCTTGGACAAAATTGTACAGAGTTAGTCACTATAATCTGACAACTTATTGTGAGTTTATTATTAAAATTACAAAAAAGTAATACAAAAGTTTTAGGTTTTTCTATGAATTTTTATGATTAGAAAAAACAATTGAACAATGGAAATCACTAAATTAAAGAAAAAAAAATTTACAGGGTGTTTCTAAAATAGGGTTCCAAACTTCTGCTGCGTTTATAACTCATTAAAATAAGCCAAAAAGTTCCTATTAACATGTGCATGTGTATCTCTGACGGATCGCAGTGACTATGGATGTGGCACGCGGAACAAACAAATGACTTTGACAGAAGTTTATTTATGATCATTAATATATTTCCTACAAACTATTTTAACAAAGAAATAATGTTTAGTGAAAACGAACAATTTGAAGTTATCCATAAATTCCGCCCCTATAAAACTATGCCGGTCCAAAAATTCATCCAAAATCAAAAAAATCAGCAATTAGAGTACTGCAGAGAAATGCTGCGCTTGAAAAATGGCTACCTAAATTATTTTGAAAAAATTGTATGGACTAATGAGTCGACTTTTACAACAGCTGGTATTTACAGTAGAAAAAATACTCATACCTGGGCAAATGAAAATCCTCACTGCATTAGGGAAACTCCAAGTCAAGGACGCACATTGTTTAATATTGAGAAACAAAATCATTGGCCCACTATTTTACCAACGTGCTTTGACTGGGAAAAGATACCTGCACTTTCTTGAAAATCAAATAGAAAACAAATTGGAAGACCTGCTGATCGACTATACCAATTTAATTTGGCACCAAGACGGAGTGAATCTACATAGAACCAGAGCAGTACGAAATTATTGAAATAATAGGTTTGATTTGTGGATTGGTAATGGAGGAAATATTCAATGGCCTTCAAATAGCCCAGACTTTACACCCTCGGACAGTTTTCTGTGAGGTTACTTAAAAAGCGAGGTTTATAAGGAAACTAATGTAGACTTAGATGAACTAAGACATACAGTTGATCAATGTATACAAAATTTGAATGAATTTAATTCTCATTTCATACTAAATGGAGTTCTGAAAGTTAATGAGGATTATACGAAGTGCATCAATAATAATGGCGGTCTCATTGAGCATCTGTGACCATTTGTGTTTTAGTTGACTTTTATTAATTAGGTATTAAAATTCTGTTAAAGTTAAGACTTATTAAAAATAAGAATGATTTTTATTATTATCATAAAATAAACGGATAACTTCAAATTTTTCCTTTTTACTAAACATTATTTCTTTGTTAAAATAGTTTGTTATCGAAAATAAATTCATGATAATAAATAAACTTTTGTCAAAATCATTTGTTTGTTCCGTTTGCCTCGACCATAGCCACTGTGATTCGTCAGACATAAATTTCCCTCCTGTTTTTTCAAAAATTGTTTTAAACTGAAATATGTCGAAAAGTCCTGAATTAAACAGTAACATAATTATATATTTTTGAAAAGAGAAAAATTTAACGAAGCTAAGTATGCACTAATATATAGTGTTCCATTAAAAAAATAAAAAATGTTTTCTTTAATTTAGTGATTTCCATTATTCAATTGTTTTTTCTAATACTGTATTATAAAAATTCATAAAAAAGCTAAAACTTTTGTATTAAAAACTTTTTTGTAATTTCAATAATAAACTCACAATAACTTACAGATTATAGTGACTAAAAAAAGAAAAAAGTTCATACTTATCATTAAACAAAAAATTAGTTTAAAGTATAAGAAATGTGTGTACTCTTGATTTTTTATATGTATAGCAAAAAAAGGTTTTAGTATAAGGAAGGTAGTACAAAAAATAGTTGTAATATATTATAAACAATAAAATTTTTGGCAGCATGTAACCTTGAAACCTTTTTAAAGGTACTTTTAAATCTTTAAATATTAAAATATTTATTCACTCTGATTTTTTAATAGTGTAGTTAGGTACAGGCTAAAAAATTGAAACAGAACAGCCAGATGTCTACAAAAAAATGAGAAGTGTATTTTTTCTTGACTTGAATTAATTAATAAAAACAAACAGATGTTAGTAAAGATAAAAGTTTTTTATGATCACAGCACTGCATGATAAAAAACAGTAAATCCTGGTAATAATTTACTTAATTGCTTGTTTGAATGTGATCAACAATATTACGGATAATTATATAACTTTTCATTTCTGACATGAACACTCGAAATATTTATTGTTTACGAAAAAAATATGGTACATTTTTTATTTATTAACCATAGTGTCAGAGCAGATAGAACAGACACTATATAGAAGAATATAGGACTTATACTTAAATACTAGCCATTTTGACAGAATATTAGTAAGCAAAATTAAAGTACGTTTTTATCGAGTATTTATAAATATTTATTTTATTATAAATATTTAAGTAAAAACTTTTTTACTAACGTTATTGTGGGAAACAACGACGCAACGGGTTAGGGTCAAATGGGGTAATAGTAAACAAGAGGTAAATGTAAACACGCTAACAACATTTTAATTTGGCGGTTTATAACTTCCTTTCTTATAGGGTAGGATGCTGCCATGTTTTCTGTATTCAGTCTCATGTAAGTCGTTGAAGCTGATGTATTGTGATTTTTTAAATTTTGGTTCTGTGAGAACTCGAAGCTATTTTTTTTAATTCGATTGTGTTTGATTAACACAGAAAATCAGTTTTTTAATAATTTTGAACAAGTAAGATGGTTTTCATCGTAGACTGTTATTGTTATGGACATATATAACTAAGTGATTGACCTAGGAATGTCAGGTTATATTGCATGCAATAATCATGTAGGTGTTTACATTTGCCCCAGACTTTTGCAAATGAAGGGGCAAAGGTAAAAACAATTTTGGGGAAAATGTGAACGCGTATGCCTACGTATTATTTTATATGTTTAGTTTACAATGGTTCGCAATTATATCAGGAAAAGACCTATCATTCAAAGGTACTCTGATGCCGACTTAGTCAATGCCGTCAATGATGTGATGAATCGAAATTAGAGTTATAGAGAGGCACAGGTTATATATAATGTCTCGATTGCGGGTCTAGAAAAATGATAAGTTACAAATATGTTTGTGTAGTTAAAGAAAATGACGAAAATGACGACGAAATTGCTATAGTACGACTGCAAGCACTTTATGAAAACTGCTTTGATTTTTACATTAATGAGAATCTCGTATCATATATAAAAATGGACATGGTGGAAGCTATTCTTCCTCAGCCTGTGACAAAAAACGTAAAATTATTTATTCGTTCACTGGAAAAGTAGATGTGTTTGAGAAACCATGATTATAATCTATTTGTATTTATTATTTGTATCTAGTGTTTTTTTTAATTTTATTAAATAAATAAATATTTCTCAGCAGAACATTATAATCTGTACCTACACCTAACTTTATTGATAAATTTTCATTTTGGGGAAATTGTAAACAGCCATGTTATGGGATAAACTAATACAAACAAACTCCAGTACCATCATTTGTTCCGTATTACCCCACCTAAGCAAGTCTAGATTTCAATATAGAAGAATTTAATTCGTTTACATTTATCCCCATACTCGTTTACAATTACCTCGATATTTTCAAAAAAATAAAAAAAAATCGGAAAATTGTAAACATAAAATATTTTTTTGTTGGATCACTTTGTTGTATTGACAAATAAAATATAAGATATAATATACTCACGAGAATTACCTTATTTAAAGAGAATACTTTATATATCATACTTTTTTGTTTAGGATAACCGGAATTGCATTTAATCAAAACCGTTTACAGTTCCCCCAGTTAACCCTATATGTTGACTGGCGTTGATTTACACCCCCAATATCTAGTAAATATGTATAGCTAAGGTTATTCATCGGGAGAGTCACCAGACAGACCGGTTTCGAAATTATTAGTAGATAGTTGTTTCCTATAATATTATTAGTTAAAAAGTTTATTCCGCTTAGTGCGGCACTAGTCATACGTTCAAAGTACTTGCAGATCAGTAGGTCACTTTATGTCAGTAGCAATGATATTTAAAGATATGAATATTATCACATACACACTGTAGGCTATCTCTCTAAACCTTAGAAATGTTTTACTGTATTATACTTTAAAAATTTATTAAAATTTATTCTGAAAAATAACAGGGTGTCCCAATATTCCGTGTGCCAAATTTCAATAAAATTTTATATACAAGGCGTTTTAAAGTTACTTGAAAAAAAACTTTGTTGCCCTCTAGCGGCCCAACGGAGCAACTTAGGATAGAAGTAAATTTAGTTAAATCTTCTTATTTTGATACAGAGAACTGCTGTAGCTCATTGTGTACGGAATATTGGTACACCCTGTACAATAGAAATGAAGTTTAGTTGTCAAGGAATAATTTTAGAATACACATAATTCTTTCAAGAAAAAATAAAGAAACTAAAAATATCCTCAGTTTAATATCAAAATTATTGATAGTACCCAAGAGAAAATATTTCTTACAATAATTATGTAGGTACATAAATTTTGTACAAAGTAAATATCGTGTAGAAACCAGACTCAAACATAATAATACAAAAAATCATTTGGATAAAAGTATTGAAATATACATACCGATTCTACGAAATCGAAATTCAATATCGCTGATGATGTAAACGTTGCAAATCTATGGGACATTATTATGGCAAATATTGCGACGGTCCTCACTCCGTATAACACACTCAATGCTGGATTTGATTCATCTGCTTTAGTCAATTCGAGGAAATTCTTGCGAGACGAAAACGCCATTATAAGTTTTGAAGCAAGTGACCCTACAAAGTAAAATGCGGTTATTCTTTAGCAGTGATGCAGGTTGTACTATTTAAAACTTCTCAGATCGATATTATGGTGGAACCAAAGGAAATATCTAAGTTTTAACTTTGGTGATAATCAAACTTATGATAATTTCTTCAAAATTAATTTTGGGTCATAGGTGTCTTTGAATTTTCTTTATATTAAATTTTGCTTAAAATGCAATTGTTTAATTAAGAAGAATATAGGTATTTATCAAATTTTATTTTGAGATCAGTTAATTGTCTAAAATATGAAAATTTATACATTCTTTTACTCACTTTTTGACGGTTTTTCTTTGAGTTCCTTTGAATTCACATTGTAATCGTACGCAGTGCCTATTATCACCATCACTATTAATATCACAGCTACAAAACTAAATAAATAAATTAAGGTCTTGTCAAACAACCCATACGTTTTTCAGAACTCACCAAAAAGATATATCGGCATTGTCAAAATATTTGCTCTCGATTGCTGTGCGACAAGTTAGATCAGAAAATCTTGCAGTATACGTGACGTTTTGATGCACAGCGTTGTTGTCGATTTTATTCAAATAGCCGTTTAAGTATTCCTCTAAATCTAATATCGAACAAGATGCGGGTACACACCAGCCCATGTCTATTACGTTTCTGGTTTGTTGGGAAACGTCGTTGAATTTCTAAAAGAAATTGACATATTCAACAATATTTCAAATTACGAAGAAAAATTGAAAAGCCCAAAAAAATGTCTGCTCGGATATATTTGTATATTTTTTGTAAATCATTAATTTATACATATGTCTTAAAAAGTCCTTGATAATGGATTCCTGAGTTCCATATCCATTCGGAAACTACTAGACTGTAAACAATAAAACTGGGTATTTCATGGGTCCTTTATGCAAAATCTATAACCTTGTAGCCCCGTAACCTGAGCCCCCATAACATCTTAATCCTACAACTATATAACCATAAACCTGAGAATCTGAGTAATAGTACGAGAAAGCTTGTATCTAATAAAGGCGTTGATGGGTTTCATAACATTAGAACGTGGAACTCAGTAAACCATTCAACTCTTTATCATAGTCCTTCATAACATCATAAGCCCGATAACCCTTCAACCCTGGGACTGAGGACGAACGAATTCAAATATTCACGAGAAACCCTATAATTTCGTAACTATTTATCAGAAGTCTAAAAGTCATGCATTCAAAAGCCCCATAGCCCCATAATTCTTTGATACTGAAAATATAGTGAACAAGACAAAGGCATCCAAATGATCACGAAATTTACAACCTTATAACTCTGTAACCCTTTATCAGAAATCATCATAACCCCATAAATAGAATAAGTTGGTTATAACCCACGACTGCTTCCAAAGATCACGGGGTCTTAGTTCCAATCATCCTTAAACGTGATCATTTGAATTACTTCGTCATGTTTTCTGCATTCCCAGTATTATAGGGTTTTAAGGCTATGGGATTCTTGGGATTATGCGTTTATGATAATAAAGAGTTATAGGGTTGTAGGGTTACTTGATATTGTAATCATTTGAATTTCTTCGTCCTGTTCACTCTGTTCCCAGATTCATAGAGTTATGAGGTAGTTTTTGATAAAAAGTTGAAGGGTAATAAGGTTACTAAGTTCCTCATCCCAAGATTTTGGAATCCATTAGGGTCGTCATTACATATAAGCCTCCTCGTACTCTCCCTGGATTTCTCAGGCTTTTGGATTTTTCAAGATATAAAAATTAACAATTTACAAAATGCCCTGACATGTAGGGTCAAAACAAAGATCTTATTCGGATTCATTCTTGTAAAAATAACTTGGTCTGTTATATGACGAAGAACACTTTATTCTTTTTTGTGGGTATATGCTACTTTTTGGAATTCTGATTTGGAACATATACATATTTCCAATTTACTTTTAAAATTTCCGCTACTTTAGTTTTTTATGTTAATTACATATTCATTACTGAAGTTGCTGTTAGTTGATATTAAGAAAGCGTTAGTGTCAAAATATTACTACTCAAGTGTTAAGTGTGAATGAAGTTGAAAACGAAATGGATTTTTCAAGTCAAGAAGAATATTTGAGTCTGAAGAATCGAAAGCCGTAGAAAGAAATTTACAAGACATCTTATAATTACTTTAAAAAATTTTTGAATATAAGACCATAAAAATTAAACCTTCTTGGGGCTTGTAGCAAGGAAGTACTACAAAATATGACGCTACAAGTTATAAAAGATAAATGTTATGTGGTATTAAACTTTCAATAAGACACGTACGCATTAGAGGGGGTGGCAGATTTTTCATTAGATAGAATCAAGTGCATGGTATTAACCAAGAGAAATCGGTGATCCAAATGCTATTCTGCAACGATCTTATCTGATTTAGAGAGAGATATTACCTCCATCAAAAGATATGGGGGTTGGAAGGCTATTGAAAATAAAATTCAAGTTGCAAGTAGGGTATTTAAAGAGGTTGAAGTTTCTGATTCAGTCAGCAGCGATATCTGATAATCCATCGAAAAATAATTTTTGCATCATAATTGGAGCTTCAGAAAAAGACATAAGACATGGTTTTAAGATATTATCATGTCTTCACTTCTGGAATAAACTTGATCCATATGGGATTTCGATAATTTCACATTTGATTAGTTCGAGTTGTAGAGCTTGTTGAATTGAAATAAATAAATTTTAAAAACGTAGTCAAATTATTGAAGCAATTTATACAATAAAAATTAAAAGTAATAATACTTCTAGTTAACTAAAGTGTCTTTTGGTCAGTTAGTAATCAGTATTAAAATATCAATATTCTGCGATAATTTTCGAAAGAGATTATTTTACGTTTTGATGAATAAAACTATTAGTTTCGTATTACAAATAATCTTAAGGGTGCATGTGCTTCACAGAAGAAATTCTAATCTACTTACGTATAATCTTTCGACCGCAGACAGGTACGGTTGGTAGTTCAACGAAAGATGATCTTTGATACCTGTGGGCTTTGGTACATGGGCCGTCACCGAGGCCAGGCAATACTGTGTTTGGAACGGAGCTTTGGCGGTTATGCATTGTTCAAAATCACCCATCTGAAATCTGCTACCGCGAAGAACTCCTGTTGATGATTTTGCGGTGGCATCCCACACTGTAAAAATATGAAGTCATCAATTACATGTGTTTTAAAATCAGTCTATTGTTAATCGAATGCATTAGTAATAAATTTATTACATTGTAATTGATTGTTTGAGTTAATGCTATTAGCAAACAATTAATACACGACTGATTGTTTCAATACAATTAGTTGATCATGAGAACGAAATGAAAATATAATAATTTAAGATGCAATCGCTCTATGTAAGAGAAGTCTTAGTTCAGCTTTTTTTGCAAAATAAAATATAAGTGCTTTTTGAACTACTCCTAGTAGCTGTTTTAAATTTTTGATTGACGAGCAGGTATCAGTCTTGATTGTTACTTGCTTTTTCAGGGTGATTAATTAAAAATGTGCATTGGGAAGAAAAAAACTTGCTGAAACTTCAATTTTTTGAAAATACCAAAAATTATTTGTTATGTTTTATACATAGTACCTATATTTCACTGATTATACATTTTTCATTTTTAAATTATCAGCGTAAAAAAGTCTACAAGAATTAATTACCTTATTCAAATCGTTAATATATAGTAGAAAGAAAAGGGGCCCAAGTATGGAACCCTGAGATAGCAATATAACGAGTCGACTCAAAACCGTTATAATAAACAAATTGCATTCTCTTATCCAAATAAGATTTGAAAATTGAGCCATACCGGAATATGCGTTTAAAATGTGGCTTGATGACTAGGTTATGTACTGGAAAAAGTGTATTGCTTCAATTGGAGCCAATTTTGAAGGAAATAAATTTGGATGATTAATTGAGTTCCTATATATTGTGTTACATTGACAAATCCGGATACTTCTTTGATAATGTATGTTAAAATAAGGAAGCAACAATGCCATTTGTCTAAAAAGTCCTATCCACAAACACACATCGAGGAGATCCTCTTCATCGCCTGTGTCTAAAGTCTAGATGAAAACTGGTTTGTATGGCAGAATTTTATTTTGTTTCAAAAAATTTTTTACAAACTATTACCACACTGGTAATTTTTTGTTGAATTCTTGTAATACTTAGCGATAAATGTTATCAACCTTACCGTAGCATTTTATTAGATAATTTGCTGTAAAGCATTTTACGATAATTACTGTTGTTGTCAATGAAGAATAATATGTCATTTTGGTCATAACCTGCTATTTGAATTAAAATGAAATAACGTTAAGGATTAGATAAGTATTGCTTGAAATCGCAAACACAATTTTCTATAAAAAATATTTATTTCCCGTAACGGAGAAAAATAATAATTTAATATCATCAAATATTAATTAATCCGTAACAGCGAAGTGTCAACGGGGTACGCAGAGTAAAGCAGCATCAGCCATCAGTGTGCCTGATGTGTGAAAGTGCATTATTATGATTATTATATCCTAATGAGGTTTGGATAGTCTTAAATTGTACTCACAATTTAGTTATTCTGATTAGTTAACCGAATCTTCAACAGACCTGAAAGTATTATCGATAGATAACAATAATTTTTTTCTAGAGTCGTAGAATTTTATTTAATTTAAAGTTGTTGTATCCACAGTGACTCTATTGACTTGATGTTGTATACTATAATTCATATTATTTATAATTAATCTAAAAACATAGTTTTGTAAATAGATAAGTCAAAAAGAGAAATATTTTTTCCGTTTTTGTAAAAAACTCCCAACTTCAAAAGTAATCTGTGCAGCAAAATGTATCAAAATGTTTTGCTAATTGCTAGTTAACCAACAATTCATAAAAATATTAAAGAAAAACAACAGAACTAACGCAAATCAATATTAAAATTTATTATTAATGGCATATAAGTACTTAAGTAATTTATTACTTAAGGGGTTTTCCATATAACGAAAAAAATATGTAAAAATTTAATTCAGTATCTAGTCTTAGAGTTATTTATATATCGACAACATGATATTCAATTTTTTTTTGAAGATTCTAAAAAAAAACTAAAAATTTCCTACAATCCACTTTTTTAATCTCTCAAAATAACAAAGAAAATATGGGTTAACACACCACCCAGCACAGCTTCTGTGCCTTTCGTGCGACAACTCGGATCAGATTGTACAACCGAGACAATTTTTTTGTAATTTTTTTGTACATTCTTTTCACAGAGTCACCCACGTGTATAACAAGTGGTAAATTCGTTTCAAGGTTCCGAAATCCTTATAGTAGCAGTTTCGTTGTCGTTATTAATGTTGGCCTTGATCTTACAAAGAAATCTCATTATTTACACCCGAAAATTCATTTAGCTGCCCTGCATTTGACTCAGCAATATTTGATATAACTGAAANAAAATTTATTAAAATTTATTCTGAAAAATAACAGGGTGTCCCAATATTCCATATGCATGGAGCTACAGTGAAGAGTGGAAGAGGAATGAAAATGCTGTTCACAATTTGCAGAATGAAGGAATATTGAGAAGAATGCATTTTAAATTTTTTCGCAGAAGTAAGTTTTGTATTACAGAAAATGGTGGTAACGTTGAACAGTTCATATGAGAGAACAGTCTGTTACAAGTTATCTAATTAATTATTTTTGAAATAACTTAATTGTTTCAAGTTTGCATCGAAATTGCTGTAGCTACCTCCGACAGAATTATGAGCACATCAGTCCTAGAGAGGCCGCATTTTTCACAGTTTTATTAATCCGATTATCATGTTTATTATGTCATAAAGTGACATCTATATGGAAGTATTAGTATGCCAAATTTCAATAAAATTTTATATACAAGGCGTTTTAAAGTTACTTGAAAAAAAAACTTTGTTGCCCTCTAGCGGCCCAACGGAGCAACTTAGGATAGAAGTAAATTTAGTTAAATCTTCTTATTTTGATACAGAGAACTGCTGTAGCTCATTGTGTACGGAATATTGGTACACCCTGTACAATAGAAATGAAGTTTAGTTGTCAAGGAATAATTTTAGAATACACATAATTCTTTCAAGAAAAAATAAAGAAACTAAAAATATCCTCAGTTTAATATCAAAATTATTGATAGTACCCAAGAGAAAATATTTCTTACAATAATTATGTAGGTACATAAATTTTGTACAAAGTAAATATCGTGTAGAAACCAGACTCAAACATAATAACACAAAAAATCATTTGGATAAAAGTATTGAAATATACATACCGATTCTACGAAATCGAAATTCAATATCGCTGATGATGTAAACGTTGCAAATCTATGGGACATTATTATGGCAAATATTGCGACGGTCCTCACTCCGTATAACACACTCAATGCTGGATTTGATTCATCTGCTTTAGTCAATTCGAGGAAATTCTTGCGAGACGAAAACGCCATTATAAGTTTTGAAGCAAGTGACCCTACAAAGTAAAATGCGGTTATTCTTTAGCAGTGATGCAGGTTGTACTATTTAAAACTTCTCAGATCGATATTATGGTGGAACCAAAAGAAATGTCTAAGTTTTAACTTTTGGTGAAATCAAACTTATGATAATTTCTTCAAAATTAATTTTGGGTCATAGGTGTCTTTGAACTTTCTTCATATTAAATTTTGCTTAAAATGCGATTGTTTAATTAAGAAGAATATATGTATTTATCAAATTTTATTTTGAGATCAGTTAATTGTCTAAAATATGAAAATTTATACATTCTTTTACTCACTTTTTGACGGTTTTTCTTTGAGTTCCTTTGAATTCACATTGTAATCGTACGCAGTGCCTATTATCACCATCACTATTAATATCACAGCTACAAAACTAAATAAATAAATTAAAGCCATGTAAAACAACCAATACGTTTTTCAGAACTCACCAAAAAGATATATCGGCATTGTCAAAATATTTACTCTCGATTGCTGTGCGACAAGTTAGATCAGAAAATCTTGCAGTATACGTGACGTTTTGATGCACAGCGTTGTTGTCGACTTTATTCAAATAGCCGTTTAAGTATTCCTCTAAGTCTAATATCGAACAAGATGCGGGTACACACCAGCCCATGTCTATTACGTTTCTGGTTTGTTGGGAAACGTCGTTGAATTTCTAAAAGAAATTGACATATTCAACAATATTTCAAATTACGAAGAAAAATTGAAAAGCCCAAAAAAATGTCTGCTCGGATATATTTGTATATTTTTTGTAAATCATTAATTTATACATATGTCTTAAAAAGTCCTTGATAATGGATTCCTGAGTTCCATATCCATTCGGAAACTACTAGACTGTAAACAATAAAACTGGGTATTTCATGGGTCCTTTATGCAAAATCTATAACCTTGTAGCCCCGTAACCTGAGCCCCCATAACATCTTAATCCTACAACTATATAACCATAAACCTGAGAATCTGAGTAATAGTACGAGAAAGCTTGTATCTAATAAAGGCGTTGATGGGTTTCATAACATTAGAACGTGGAACTCAGTAAACCATTCAACTCTTTATCATAGTCCTTCATAACATCATAAGCCCGATAACCCTTCAACCCTGGGACTGAGGACGAACGAATTCAAATATTCACGAGAAACCCTATAATTTCGTAACTATTTATCAGAAGTCTAAAAGTCATGCATTCAAAAGCCCCATAGCCCCATAATTCTTTGATACTGAAAATATAGTGAACAAGACAAAGGCATCCAAATGATCACGAAATTTACAACCTTATAACTCTGTAACCCTTTATCAGAAATCATCATAACCCCATAAATAGAATAAGTTGGTTATAACCCACGACTGCTTCCAAAGATCACGGGGTCTTAGTTCCAATCATCCTTAAACGTGATCATTTGAATTACTTCGTCATGTTTTCTGCATTCCCAGTATTATAGGGTTTTAAGGCTATGGGATTCTTGGGATTATGCGTTTATGATAATAAAGAGTTATAGGGTTGTAGGGTTACTTGATATTGTAATCATTTGAATTTCTTCGTCCTGTTCACTCTGTTCCCAGATTCATAGAGTTATGAGGTAGTTTTTGATAAAAAGTTGAAGGGTAATAAGGTTACTAAGTTCCTCATCCCAAGATTTTGGAATCCATTAGGGTCGTCATTACATATAAGCCTCCTCGTACTCTCCCTGGATTTCTCAGGCTTTTGGATTTTTCAAGATATAAAAATTAACAATTTACAAAATGCCCTGACATGTAGGGTCAAAACAAAGATCTTATTCGGATTCATTCTTGTAAAAATAACTTGGTCTGTTATATGACGAAGAACACTTTATTCTTTTTTGTGGGTATATGCTACTTTTTGGAATTCTGATTTGGAACATATACATATTTCCAATTTACTTTTAAAATTTCCGCTACTTTAGTTTTTTATGTTAATTACATATTCATTACTGAAGTTGCTGTTAGTTGATATTAAGAAAGCGTTAGTGTCAAAATATTACTACTCAAGTGTTAAGTGTGAATGAAGTTGAAAACGAAATGGATTTTTCAAGTCAAGAAGAATATTTGAGTCTGAAGAATCGAAAGCCGTAGAAAGAAATTTACAAGACATCTTATAATTACTTTAAAAAATTTTTGAATATAAGACCATAAAAATTAAACCTTCTTGGGGCTTGTAGCAAGGAAGTACTACAAAATATGACGCTACAAGTTATAAAAGATAAATGTTATGTGGTATTAAACTTTCAATAAGACACGTACGCATTAGAGGGGGTGGCAGATTTTTCATTAGATAGAATCAAGTGCATGGTATTAACCAAGAGAAATCGGTGATCCAAATGCTATTCTGCAACGATCTTATCTGATTTAGAGAGAGATATTACCTCCATCAAAAGATATGGGGGTTGGAAGGCTATTGAAAATAAAATTCAAGTTGCAAGTAGGGTATTTAAAGAGGTTGAAGTTTCTGATTCAGTCAGCAGCGATATCTGATAATCCATCGAAAAATAATTTTTGCATCATAATTGGAGCTTCAGAAAAAGACATAAGACATGGTTTTAAGATATTATCATGTCTTCACTTCTGGAATAAACTTGATCCATATGGGATTTCGATAATTTCACATTTGATTAGTTCGAGTTGTAGAGCTTGTTGAATTGAAATAAATAAATTTTAAAAACGTAGTCAAATTATTGAAGCAATTTATACAATAAAAATTAAAAGTAATAATACTTCTAGTTAACTAAAGTGTCTTTTGGTCAGTTAGTAATCAGTATTAAAATATCAATATTCTGCGATAATTTTCGAAAGAGATTATTTTACGTTTTGATGAATAAAACTATTAGTTTCGTATTACAAATAATCTTAAGGGTGCATGTGCTTCACAGAAGAAATTCTAATCTACTTACGTATAACCTTTCTACCGCAGACAGATACGGTTGGTAATTCAACGAAAGATGATCTTTGATTCCTGTGGGTTTTGGTACATGGGCCGTCACCGAGGCCAGACAGTACTGTGTTTGGAACGGAGCTTTGGCGGTTATGCATTGTTCAAAATCGCCCATCTGAAATCTGCTACCGCGAAGAACTCCTGTTGATGATTTTGCTGTGGCATCCCACACTGAAAAAATATGAAGTCATAAATTAAATGTGTTTTAAAATCAGCAGAGTCTATTGTTAATCGAAGAATGCATTAGTAATAAATTTATTACATTGTAAATTGATTGTTTGAATTAATGCTATTAGCAAACAATTAATACACGATTGATTGTTTCAATGTTCCAATACAAGTTGATCATGAGAATGAAATAATATGAAAATATAATAATTTAAGATGAAATCGCTCTAAGTAAGAGAAGGTTCAGTTCAGTTATTTTTTGCAAAATAAAAGATGGGTGTTTTTGAACTATTCCTAGTAGCTATTTTCAATTTTTGATTGATGAGCAGGTGTCAGTTATGATTGTTACTTGCTTTTTCAAGGTGATCCACTAAAAATGTGCCTTGGTGAGAAAAAACTTGATTGAAACTTATAGCAAAATTCAGTTTTTTGAAAATATCAAAAATTGATTATTATGTTTTATATTGATATGAATCAAAAGTTTAAGTTTCAGTATTAGGATGAAAATAGATTCATGTCAAAGAATGATAATGTAAGAGTTAAGTAATAGATTTGAAATTAAGATGACAAGTAAAATATAAATTTTGATGAAATATCAATCTAATTAATAAAAGTGGTATATAGCAAAATAAGGATTAATTAGTATTGCAAAGGTTAAATTGGAAATGTAAAATTAAAAAGTAATCTGATTGGTTAAATTAAAAAGGATAAGTTAAGAAAAAATTGTATTTAAAAATAAGAGTGCAGTGCGGTGGTAATCAAAAAATAAATAAATAAATAGCGAGAGGAGAGAGGAGATATAATTGTCAAAACAGAAAAAGAAGATTGTATAAGAAAAAGTTAAATAAATTAAAGAAGACGAAAAGAAAAGAACACGAAGCTGATAGTGAAAATCAGTTGCTGAGAAAAAGAAAGAACATTTTCTTAAGGAGTAAGGAGAATACAAAATTGTTGTTTATCGTACACGAAACTATAAAGGAAAGAAGATAACAACAGAGAAAATTAAAATTAGAGAAAAATTGTGTTTGAAGAAAGAATAAGAGTGTACACGAATTTTGACAGATAACTAAAGAGTAATTGTCAAATAGTCATATTAGTAAAATTATTTGAATTGTCGTAGCTAGGAATAAAGGAGATAAGGAGTAGGAGCTATTAAGGCGAGTCAGGAAATTGCAGCCAGCAAAGCTATACAAGAGACAGAGAAAGGAACAAATTGACAAAAAGGAGAGAGTGAGTGGACGAAAAGAAGGAAGAGGACAGGAGAGAAATAGCAGAAAGAGAAATCGTGGACAAGAAAGAAAGGACAATAGATATGTATGTATAGGTAATAAGTAAATGTTAGTTTGTAGTGTAGAAATAAGTTATCGCAGGATAAATAGAGACATTTTAAAAAATGATTATAAATTTATAATTTATTATGTCAATATAAAAATTTAAACACAGATTACAACAATATTATTTAATTTTTCTAACAAAGTTAATTACAAGTAAAACCTATTTTGTGAACCAACTACTGAGATAAGACCTCATGTTCTATTAAATTTGATCTCTATTATTTATACAAAATTGACATAGGTAATCTAATTGTCATTAAAATTATCAAACGTGAAATAGAATCCCATATTAAATCAAGAATACTTGATAAAGAAAAAATAAATAAATAATAATTTTTTAATTTACGATTTATATTTCAAAATCAAATTGAGTGATAAATAAAAAGCTAGCCTGGTAAGTAATAAAAATAATAGTCAAAATTTATAATATTTCCTTCCACTGAATATTACAAATTACATAGAACTACACAAACATTAAAACTAATTTATCTTAATTGGAGCATCACAATATATTGTATATTGTACCTATATTTCACTGATTATAAATTTTTCATCGTTTACAAAGTATTTATTTTTCAGAGTTAAGTAATTATTTACATAGAAATACATTTTTTTTGGAGAGTATTATGTTCAAGCCAATCTAGGAATACAAATAGAGTATGTCCAGTGTTAGAGTGAATAAAAGGAAAAACTTTTTTATTTTACATTTCACTTACGCACACAGAAGTTTTGCTATTAAAAATGAGGATGCCATTGAGAAATTTAACATTTCGTATACCTACGAGGTGTCCAGAAAAAAAAATTCATATGTCATAAGACATATTTTTATTCTTTTGGAAAAATTATACTTAGCAAAAGGCATCCAAAGAGTTAATTCATTTTTAAATAAAACAATTTGTGCACAAAATCGGTTTAATTTTTTTAAAACGCATCCATCAATTTTTTTTTAGTATTATCACCTAGATGGTACATTCTGTCAAAAAAATATCCGGAATTTGTCATTTAAAAATTCCGCGTAAAGCAGATTTAAATTTCTTTTTTGATGGAAAGTTGGTAGTGCTGTACTCTACTTTGACGTGAAGTTTGTGCGCTATCTGTCAAATAGTTTGTTTGCAACATAGATTTAGTAGTATATGGATGGAGTCAAAGCCCACTTTTTGCGCATTTTAGCTGTTCCAACATGAACAGCGAAAGCGGCAGCGATTTGTCCTAAGTCACGTGACCTAGAATGCAATCACCTTACATTGATTTAAAAAGCAACTCTATTTCTGAATAGGAAATTATTTTCTTTATAGTACCACAACAATAAGAAAAAATACTGTCAAATGTATGTATTAAATTCGTAATAACACTTAATACCACGTAATGGATATAACAAATCGCCCGTGATAAGTCTGAAAGTGCCCTAAGTCACGCGATCCTAGACTAGTTTCATCCCACTTTACATGTTATCCCCTGCCCTCTCTCTCTACATTCCATCCATAGTATACTATATTAGATCTATGGTTTACAACTGTTAATTCTGTTAGTACCTAAAGTGTATTCAGCGGTTTTTACTATGGATAGTTATTGGACAAAAAGTTTGCCTAAAATTTTGTGCTACCAACGGAATTTCTTGTGCTGAATAATTGAAAATGTTGAAAAAGACGTACCTACGTTCAGTTTTATCGAAAACTCAAGTATACAAATGGTGCAAAGCCTTCAGATATAGTCAAGAAGTGGTTGATGGTTTGCCACGTTCTGCTCGTCCTGCAACGTCTTCAACTCAAGAAAAAATCGACAAAGGGAAGGGAATGGTGCTTGCAAACCGTCATTAAAGTTATGTTATGAACTAAACATATCTCATAAATCAGTTCGCACCATTTTAGTTGATGTTCTGGGTATGAAGCACGTCGTAGCACAATTTTCTATAAAAAATATTTCTTCCCCATAACGGAGAAAAATAATAATTTAATGTCATTAAATATTAATTAATTCGTAACAGCGAAGTGTCAACGGGGTACGCAGAGTAAAGCAGCATCAGCCATCAGTGTGCCTGATGTGTGAAAGTGCATTATTATGATTATTATATCCTAATGAGGTTTGGATAGTCTTAAATTGTACTCACAATTTAGTTATTCTGATTAGTTAACCGAATCTTCAACAGACCTGAAAGTATTATCGATAGATAATAATTTTTTTTTTTGAGATGTAGAATTTTATTTAATTTAAAGTTGTTGTATCCACACTGACTTTATAATCACTCATTATTGACTTGAAGTTGTATACTATGATTCATATTATTTATAATTAATTTAAAAGCATAGTTTTGTAAATAGATAAGTCGAAAAGAGAAATGTTTTTTTCCTTTTTGTAGAAATCTCCCCACTTTAACAGTAATCTGTGCAGCAAAATGTTAGAAAGTGTTTTGTTCATTGCTGGTTAACCAACAATTCATAACAGTATTAAAGAAAAACAACAGAACTAACGCAAAACTGTATTTAAATTTATTATTAATGGCATATACTTAAGTAATTTATTACTGAAGGAGTTGGGGTTTTCCATATAACGAAAAAAATATGTAAAAATTTAATTCAGTATCTAGTCTTAGAGTTATTTATATATCGACAACATGATATTCAATTTTTTTTTGAAGATTCTAAAAAAAAACTAAAAATTTCCTACAATCCACTTTTTTAATCTCTCAAAATAACAAAGAAAATATGGGTTAACACACCACCCAGCACAGCTTCTGTGCCTTTCGTGCGACAACTCGGATCAGATTGTACAACCGAGACAATTTTTTNGATACCTGTGGGTTTTGGTACATGGGCCGTCACCGAGGCCAGGCAATACTGTGTTTGGAACGGAGCTTTGGCGGTTATGCATTGTTCAAAATCACCCATCTGAAATCTGCTACCGCGAAGAACTCCTGTTGATGATTTTGCGGTGGCATCCCACACTGTAAAAATATGAAGTCATCAATTACATGTGTTTTAAAATCAGTCTATTGTTAATCGAATGCATTAGTAATAAATTTATTACATTGTAATTGATTGTTTGAGTTAATGCTATTAGCAAACAATTAATACACGACTGATTGTTTCAATACAATTAGTTGATCATGAGAACGAAATGAAAATATAATAATTTAAGATGCAATCGCTCTATGTAAGAGAAGTCTTAGTTCAGCTTTTTTTGCAAAATAAAATATAAGTGCTTTTTGAACTACTCCTAGTAGCTGTTTTAAATTTTTGATTGACGAGCAGGTATCAGTCTTGATTGTTACTTGCTTTTTCAGGGTGATTAATTAAAAATGTGCATTGGGAAGAAAAAAACTTGCTGAAACTTCAATTTTTTGAAAATACCAAAAATTATTTGTTATGTTTTATACATAGTACCTATATTTCACTGATTATACATTTTTCATTTTTAAATTATCAGCGTAAAAAAGTCTACAAGAATTAATTACCTTATTCAAATCGTTAATATATAGTAGAAAGAAAAGGGGCCCAAGTATGGAACCCTGAGATAGCAATATAACGAGTCGACTCAAAACCGTTATAATAAACAAATTGCATTCTCTTATCCAAATAAGATTTGAAAATTGAGCCATACCGGAATATGCGTTTAAAATGTGGCTTGATGACTAGGTTATGTACTGGAAAAAGTGTATTGCTTCAATTGGAGCCAATTTTGAAGGAAATAAATTTGGATGATTAATTGAGTTCCTATATATTGTGTTACATTGACAAATCCGGATACTTCTTTGATAATGTATGTTAAAATAAGGAAGCAACAATGCCATTTGTCTAAAAAGTCCTATCCACAAACACACATCGAGGAGATCCTCTTCATCGCCTGTGTCTAAAGTCTAGATGAAAACTGGTTTGTATGGCAGAATTTTATTTTGTTTCAAAAAATTTTTTACAAACTATTACCACACTGGTAATTTTTTGTTGAATTCTTGTAATACTTAGCGATAAATGTTATCAACCTTACCGTAGCATTTTATTAGATAATTTGCTGTAAAGCATTTTACGATAATTACTGTTGTTGTCAATGAAGAATAATATGTCATTTTGGTCATAACCTGCTATTTGAATTAAAATGAAATAACGTTAAGGATTAGATAAGTATTGCTTGAAATCGCAAACACAATTTTCTATAAAAAATATTTATTTCCCGTAACGGAGAAAAATAATAATTTAATATCATCAAATATTAATTAATCCGTAACAGCGAAGTGTCAACGGGGTACGCAGAGTAAAGCAGCATCAGCCATCAGTGTGCCTGATGTGTGAAAGTGCATTATTATGATTATTATATCCTAATGAGGTTTGGATAGTCTTAAATTGTACTCACAATTTAGTTATTCTGATTAGTTAACCGAATCTTCAACAGACCTGAAAGTATTATCGATAGATAATAATTTTTTTTTTTGAGATGTAGAATTTTATTTAATTTAAAGTTGTTGTATCCACACTGACTTTATAATCACTCATTATTGACTTGAAGTTGTATACTATGATTCATATTATTTATAATTAATTTAAAAGCATAGTTTTGTAAATAGATAAGTCGAAAAGAGAAATGTTTTTTTCCTTTTTGTAGAAATCTCCCCACTTTAACAGTAATCTGTGCAGCAAAATGTTAGAAAGTGTTTTGTTCATTGCTGGTTAACCAACAATTCATAACAGTATTAAAGAAAAACAACAGAACTAACGCAAAACTGTATTTAAATTTATTATTAATGGCATATACTTAAGTAATTTATTACTGAAGGAGTTGGGGTTTTCCATATAACGAAAAAAATATGTAAAAATTTAATTCAGTATCTAGTCTTAGAGTTATTTATATATCGACAACATGATATTCAATTTTTTTTTGAAGATTCTAAAAAAAAACTAAAAATTTCCTACAATCCACTTTTTTAATCTCTCAAAATAACAAAGAAAATATGGGTTAACACACCACCCAGCACAGCTTCTGTGCCTTTCGTGCGACAACTCGGATCAGATTGTACAACCGAGACAATTTTTTTGTAATTTTTTTGTACATTCTTTTCACAGAGTCACCCACGTGTATAACAAGTGGTAAATTCGCTTCAAGGTTCCGAAATCCTTATAGTAGCAGTTTCGTTGTCTTTATAAATGTTGGCCTTGATCTTACAAAGAAATCTCATTATTTACACCCGAAAATTCATTTAGCTGTCCTGCATTTGACTCAGCAATATTTGATATTACTGAAAACACAGGTGTAGGGGTCCGCGCGTAAAAAAATACAGTTTCAGTATGTAAATTAAATTCGTTCTTGTGCGTCGGCTGACTAGTGCTATAGGTATATTTCCAAACGATTTTTTTTATATAGGTATAGAATCAAAGATTGTGGTTAATACCTATGAAACTTGATACTTCTCTGAAAAAAATAGAACATCTAATGTAATCGAAACTGGCCTGCTGAAACTGGATTATTAATTTACGCAAGGTACTAATGTATATTTTAATAAGAATAAAGCTTTGTTTCTATTCGAACAATTTGACAGAATGATAAAATTATTATTTAGATATCTACAATTAGATTAGATATTAAAAAAAAGTATGTTGATAAAATTAAAAAATTCTTCATTTTAATGTTCCACAAACCTTTTAAATGTTCCAGAATTAACAAAAGAATATTAGTGTAGAAAAAAATGGTTAGTCCCAGTTTGTTACGGATAGGAGACTTTAATGATCAAGTAGAAGATGAACCCCTACGGAGCATTCTCACGATTCATCTTTTTTTCACCAATTTTGGTTGTAAAATCGAATGAAAATTACTATGAGCACATGTATTTCAACTTTAGGTCGGTTAAACTGATTCCAATAAAGTTTCCATTTCCATTCTATTCAAACATTATGATTCAATTATTGAGTCATCAGTGATTTATATACTATAGTCCATTTACGATAAGTTTACAATGACGTCATAGGGCGAAATGATCCAGTGTTGCCAGGTTTTAAATGTTTTCAGGATATNTATTAATGTTGGCCTTGATCTTACAAAGAAATCTCATTATTTACACCCGAAAATTCATTTAGCTGTCCTGCATTTGACTCAGCAATATTTGATATTACTGAAAACACAGGTGTAGGGGTCCGCGCGTAAAAAAATACAGTTTCAGTATGTAAATTAAATTCGTTCTTGTGCGTCGGCTGACTAGTGCTATAGGTATATTTCCAAACGATTTTTTTTATATAGGTATAGAATCAAAGATTGTGGTTAATACCTATGAAACTTGATACTTCTCTGAAAAAAATAGAACATCTAATGTAATCGAAACTGGCCTGCTGAAACTGGATTATTAATTTACGCAAGGTACTAATGTATATTTTAATAAGAATAAAGCTTTGTTTCTATTCGAACAATTTGACAGAATGATAAAATTATTATTTAGATATCTACAATTAGATTAGATATTAAAAAAAAGTATGTTGATAAAATTAAAAAATTCTTCATTTTAATGTTCCACAAACCTTTTAAATGTTCCAGAATTAACAAAAGAATATTAGTGTAGAAAAAAATGGTTAGTCCCAGTTTGTTACGGATAGGAGACTTTAATGATCAAGTAGAAGATGAACCCCTACGGAGCATTCTCACGATTCATCTTTTTTTCACCAATTTTGGTTGTAAAATCGAATGAAAATTACTATGAGCACATGTATTTCAACTTTAGGTCGGTTAAATTGATTCCAATAAAGTTTCCATTTCCATTCTATTCAAACATTATGATTCAATTATTGAGTCATCAGTGATTTATATACTATAGTCCATTTACGATAAGTTTACAATGACGTCATAGGGCGAAATGATCCAGTGTTGCCAGGTTTTAAATGTTTTCAGGATATTTAAGAAAATACAATTTTTGATAGCGAATCCACTTTATTAGAAATGTAACCTATAGAACCACACAAACATTTTTCGTTTAGAAGTGTGTAAAATGGTTCGTAATTTTTTCAGCTATAACCTACATTTCTGAAAAAGTTTAAATATTGTCAAAATATTATTTAAAATACATATAATTGGTGTACCTAACAATAATTACAACTTTTTTTACAGCGGTAAATAGTAGAAGTGGTTCTCCATATTCACGGACCTGTTCAAAATAGTCTATTACCAACGCTAATTCTTGAGCGTGCTCGATAAAGGTTAATAAAAAAAATTAAATATACAGGATATATTTTTCAAAGCGGATACAAATACAATGCTGGGGTTATTTTGCTACATATTAAGTATTAAGTATTTAAGTGAAAAAAGATTGTTAGTACAAAATACTGCCATGGTGACCACTTAGGTATAGGTATATGTCTCGTAAGCTGTAGAAGAAATCGAAAATCAAAAAATTTTTCTTAAATATTTGTCCGTAGTTGGAGGATATACATATAAAATCAATAAAAATTCAGAAAGTAAAAATGCGGCGGACATACGAATTTTAGTCTCGATTTTTAATTTTTTTTATCTTGAGTGTTAAAAAAATTAAAAAATATTTTTGTTCCTAATTTGATGGTACCTATATTTTCCAAAGAATTCAATTTACTTTAAATTAAAAAAAAGTCGATATCTTATTAGATATACAATGTTGTTTCGAAAAAAACACGTTTAAACACACAGTTGTTGCAGTACAAATAAACTTGTGTTTACCAAGCGTATGTAGGAACCATTGAAACGACTTCAGAAAAATATCGCCATCTACAGTCACTTAAATCAACTGTTAATACAGCTATCTACTGTCACTTACATCACTTATATTTATTTCGCAATGACAAAAGAATTCTAGAAAATCGAATAAAAACCTAAAAAGGCAGCCATAAAGTAAGGGCATAAATGATACGATAGCTCACGTAGGTATAAAGTTAATTTCGAAAAAATCGTTTGAGTACCATATTCTACACATATTTATCTACAAAAATAAGAATTTTTTTT